GCCACTGCACTCCAGCCTGGGCAACAGAGTGAGACTCCAACTCAAAAAAAAAAAGTCCTTATCTTTGTGTATGAGGTAGGGTTCAGGAAGAGTGGGGACACATCAGAGTCACCAAGGGGCTGAGAGGTGAGGGCCAGAGTTGTTGAAAGAGAGAGAGAGAGAGAGAGAGAGAGAGAAAGAGACAGGGAGAGAGGGAGAGAGAGGACATTTGCAAGTTTCTATCACCTCACAGACACATTTAGAACTATTTTGTAGAAAGCAGCCATTTTAATAATCTTCAGAACCCAAAGAAGACAGCATCACATGTGTGGGCTTCAAAACCGGATGTGATCTGAACTCTGTCTCTTACTAACTGTATAACATGATATGCATGAGCACTGAGCCTCAGTTTACACACCCATGAATGAGACAAGAGCACTTGTACTAAGGGGTAGGCTTGCAGAGTAAACTAAGAAAGGACAACGTGGGAAGAACTAGAAAGAGTTTGCCACAAAATAGCTACCCAAGAAATGGTCTTATTCAAGGTTTTGTTTTACTTTTTAATCAAGAAAACCACCAGAAGAGAAATTTTCAAAAGCCTGTATTCTGTCATTCAGATAACCTCTGTTATATAATATATGCCATAATTGCACTGTACAAATTAAACTAACACACACCTTACCCTTCTTTAAAGAGATGACCTCTGAGTTTTAATGAGATAGATCATCCCACAAGATCAGCCCACTGGGGACAGGCTATGTACCACAGCATGGATACTAACAGCAGAAGAGCTGATATATCTTAAGTGACTTACCTGTCCATGAGTAGGGGATTGTTTAAATGCATCATGGCTCATCCTTATGGTGGAAAGGATCAGAGCATGCTAGGTTTGGTGGCTCATGCTTGTAATTCCAGCACTTTGAAAGGTCAAGATGGTAGGGTTACTTGAACCCAGGAGTTTGAGAACAGCCTAGGCAACATAGCAAGACCTCATCTCTACAAAAAAAAAAAAAAATCAAGAAATTAGCTAGGCATGGTGGCACACACCTGTAGCCCCAGCTACTCGGGAGGATGAGGTGGATAGATCGCCTAAGCCAAGGCAGTCAAGGGTGTGGTGAGCCATGATCATGCCACTGCACCCCAGTCTAGGTGACAGAAAAATGAGAAAGAATTGCAGAGAAATTAAATGGGAAAAAGCAAAATTTCTTAACAGATCGGGTAGCATGCTGCAGTTTGTGAAGAAAAAAGGAGGTGGCAGAGAAAGTTGTGTGTATGTGTGTGTGTGTGATGCTTATACATAAAATATCTCTGGAAGGATTAACAAACGTCTGGTAAGGTTAGTTACCTCTATGGAGAGGAACTGAGTGGCTGAGAATGGGTTAAGATGGAAACTTTTTGTAGGCATACCTTTTGAATTTGGGGTCATGAGTTACAAACACATCCGAGTTACAATGCTTAATCAGGAAGGTTGAGCAATAAACACTGAGATTTCCACCAAGACATGTTATTAAACTGGCTCTGGGTGATGACTGGCTGCCTGTTAATTTTCGCTTCTTCTTTTGCACTCAGGGGAAGAAAGGTGATGCAGGACCACCTGGAATCTCTGGATTGCTGGGACCGCAGGTAACTACTGTCTTCTAAATGCTCTTCCATAGCAACTCTGCTTGCTCTGATAAAATAAATGAGCAGGGAGCAATTCTCAGATTGGTAGCCAGAATCCTGCTAGTCGCCACATCAAAGTTTTCAAAAGAATGTCAGTGGGTCATGTGTCCTCTCTTTTTCGCCCCCCTGGCTCATTTTTCTCCACCTCCTCTCTCATATGTGGGAACTAGTGATACAGGCAGGATGACCATTGGTTTGCTCTCCTGAAGGAATTTTTGTCTAGAGGAGGGCAGACAAGTGATGATAACAGTGATGATCAGTCTTATGACAAAGAGAATGGTTGCGGGGAGAAGCCCTAGGATGAAGTGGTCAGGAAATTTCCCATGAAGAGCCTCATCTCTCCTTGGCATACAAGGCACAGTCAGCCTGGCAAGGGCAGACTTGCCTGGGTGGCACAGCTCTGCAGAGATTCCACACACTGCAGCACAGCACATGTGAGGGTTTTAGCCAGCACGAGGAACCACAGAAACAGAAGCCACAGAACAGAGAGTGGTGGGAGAATGAACCGAGTGAGAATTGTAAGGAGTTAACCAAAGAGGCCAGAAAAATCGAAAGGGCAATCATAGGAACCAAGAGACCTGTGTTCAAGTCTCAGTCCGTCTTCCAACGCAGTGGGACACTGGCCAAGTCATTTCCCCTCTTTGGGCCTCAGTTTCCCCATCTGTAAAAATGATGGTCTTAGGACTCCAATCCCAGAGGTCTCTGTTTCTAGGCAGGTGCTGTTCTTGCTCTCTGCTCCTAGCCAGTTGCAGATGTTCTGTCCTGGTGTCATCTCTCTGGATCCTGACAACTACCCAGACAGATGTGCAGATTCAAGATCCTTGTCTCCATGACACAGACGAGGGGTGAGGCTCCTGATGCAAGGCGATCTCCTCAAGGCCACCCTCTGCTAAACAGACACCTGGCTTCAAATCCCAATCCAGCCCTCCCTAGGTCACATCAGCCCTCAACTCTTAGTCCCCTTATGTGTGTAAATGTAGCATCATCGTGAGCTCCCCACAGGGTACCACAGTGTGGACAAAACAGGATGAGCCCCTAGAGCCCCATGCCTGGCACTTGCAGGGGTACAGACTTCCTTTCATCTTTTCTTTGTCCCTCACATCCAAGCTCCACTCCTTCCCCTCGCACCATCAGTCACTTCATGCCAAAACAGTGACAGTGAGGGGAAAGGGCAGAGGCAGAGACACCCAGGCTCAAATCCCAGCTTTCTCCATTTTCTGACTGAACAACCTTGGATAACCTTATGAACTTTGGTTTCATCATTTGTTCAGGATAATAATAAACGATATTTTTTTTTTGAGTAGGAGTCTCACTCTGTTGCTCAGGCTGGAATGCAGTGGCACGCTCACAGCCACCACAGCTTTGACTTGCTGGGCTCAGGTGATCCTTCCACCTCAGCCTTCCAAGTAACTGAAACTACAGACATGTGCCACCATGCCCGGCTAATTTTTTTGTTTATTGTAGAGATGAGGTCTCGCCAAGTTGACCAAGCTGGTCTCGAACCCGTGAACTCAGGCAATCCTCTCTCAGCCTCTCATAGTGCTGGGATTATAGGTGTGAGCCACTGTGCCCGGCCAATGACAAAAATTTTAAAAAGAGAACTATACTGTAGGGTTAGGGGAAGAACAGGGACTATGATAGGAGGCAATGAAGTCCTCAAGACATAACAAACTCCAGGCAAACAACTGGTGACTGTCTCTGTTCTGGCTGCATTGGCAGCAAACAGGTAGACATAGGTCACTACTGGGCTTTTCTATCTGGTCCTGCTAGAGCTGCCGTCAAGCTGCTGGGCTTTTGCACCACCTGGGACTGGACACCTCCACCTCCACACCAGACTCCCTGGGGTAGTGGTCACACCATTTGTTGGGCCTTGGCAGAGAAGCACTCACCCAGAAAACACTGCGACCAGCACTTTAGAAGCAGCTTTGACTGGTTGCTGACATGGAATTGTTCTAGTGAATCATGGGCACCTTGGATGCAATCAGAGACTTCATTTCTACAGCTTTCATTTGGGTCAGGATACAGCAAGAAATAAGGCATATACAATCCATCATAATTCACAGTTTTCTAAAGATTTTACATTTACTGTGGCATTTTGCTGTTAATAATGAAAAATAGAGTGTTTTTTACCTTTGTTTTATGACCTTGCTTCTTTCCTAGTGAGTATAACTGGTGTATTTTAAGATTCACCATCAATATAACTGTATCAAATTATTTTAAGCTATATTTTTTTCCTGACAACTCTTTGTCTGCTACCCTGGCAAATATATTTTGTTCTTTCATTTTTAACTTTGAAGTCATTTTATTCAGCAAATCTTTACTGAATGCCAAACACTGAGCTGCATGCCATAGGTATAAATATTACCAGTCTTTTTACAGCAGATTTGCCCATCATGGTGCACCCCGATGTATTTGGGGTTCTCATTGGTTCAGAACTAGACAGTATAGAGTTTGTCATAGGTATGTACTGTTGGTGCTCTGGATCAGACCACTGCCTGATGGAAGGCCAACTGCACCTGAACCAAGAGGCAGAATTTCTATGGATTTCTGCTATTTTCTCTGATTCACTTTTTCTGCCATATCTATGTGTGTGCCTTTCCTAGGCCTGGCTCCTGTTTTCCGCTGCTTACCACTCATGCATTTGTTCATTTGTTCATGCATTCATTGATTTATTAACACAACAGGTATTCATAATTCAAAAAGTAACCTCTATGTAGCAAATTCAGCTCTGGGAATGTAAAATCTAAGTAGCCACATTGTCTGTACCCAGAGAATTCAGACATTAGTGTGGCAGAAAGAGATGCAGATAGAGAAGGTGTTTTAATATGTACCCTAAATTCTGCATTTATTTTGGTATGATAAGACCAGAAGATCAGAGGATGACTGCCATTGGAAAGTATCATTCACAGCTCCCACAGATGGGAGCATTCCATTTTATGTGGGGCTGTACAGAGGAGTGCCAGAATCAGCCTAGAGACAGAAGGGCAAGAACCTTTATTGTAGTTTTCAAGGGAAGAAATAGACAGGGCAGGGTCATCAGCTGAGCACACTTAGAATTGGATAGTCTGAATGATTCTAGCAGGCTCTAGGTTAGAGTGTGGTCTCACATTGTCTTGTAATTCGTCCTGGGGTGACTTAGAGCAGACAGATAGTGTCCTGTTCCAGATATGCGTGCTTTGTTTCTACTATTGCTAGACTTTCTCTTTAGTTTTCATATATAATTGTGTCTATCCTTTAAAACAGCCTGTGAGCAAAAGATGCTTTTCCTCATTTAAAATAGGAGAAACTGAGCTCAGAGAATTTAATTAGCTTTGCATGTTATGGGAACAGTCAGCATTCCTGTCTCAGAGTGTGCAAAGCCTCCGGGCAGTTGGCATCCTATAAGACACATTTGGTCCCTCTCTCTCAGGAGGAAAAATTTCATCTGCTGGAAGATATCATAGTAAATATATACATCTGTGACATCCTACATGGTGATTCCTGTATACCGGCAGCCTTTAAAAAAAAAAATGGAAATCTGTTTCTGGCCTGGCCAGGTGTTTATGAACAGGTGGTGCTACTTGGTTCTGTGCTTAGCATAGAGTCCTTTGAATTGTGGAAACGCAGACAGGAAGAACGGCTGGTTTGAGAGAGGGCTGGGTGGTCTGTGGGCCTGGGCCTCTGTGCAAAAACCTTCTAAGTGGGGAAGTAATTAGGATTGTGCCACAGGGATCTACAATCTGAGGGGAGGACTTACAAATTATGAACAACTTCCCCAAAAAGCACATGTGTCCAGGTTGCACAGGGAGTTTGATTACTGTGCTAATTTATGCAAGCAATTTTCATGCATCTTCAAATTCCATCTTAATTCATAAATCTACTCCAGTTGGAACTAGGTGGTTATTACGAATAATTATTTGCATTTTCTTTATTAATGACAATTAGGTTAATTGGTTCTTTATGCATCATCATTGTAACTACTAATCATATTAAATAGCTATTTAGTCACTATGGTATTAGAGGGATCAAATGTTGTTTCATTAATAATAATTGAACTGATTAGTTAATTAATAAACAGAGTCATTTTGTGTTTTTTTCATTATTAATAATGAAAGCACTCATATTTGTTGTTCGCATTTACATCTATTGGCTAATTCAGTACTATCGTTAATAATTAGATTAATTGGCTGTTTAGATATTTTGTTAATGATAAAAAGAGAAGTAACACTTGTGAAATCTTCCCATGTTCTGTACTGGATCACAGGCTTTTGTAAACCACACATAATGATCTGAGGAAGAGGCTTCCAACCATTTGTTGCAGTTGAGGGAATTAAGCCGCCCAGAGAGGTGAAATCCATTGCCTAAGTCCATTGAGGCAGGATGAGGCCACCTAGGCTTTGGCCCAGGCCATCCTAAACCAAAGCTCTAATTTTTTCTTTCACATAAATTCGTATCTATCAGTCTCTTTGTGCAGTGTGGAAGAGTACCTTGCCTACAGCACCTCAGAGAGGCCCTGATAGTGTTGGGTCTTACACTTTAGTCCCTGCCTTCCTTTTGCTTGTTTCTTTCTTGAAAAATTAATATACTCACCTATAAAAGGGTAAGGAGGTGCAGAATCATTGATATGGTAGAGCTTTGTTTGTTTGTTTGCTTTTGGTGGGAGGATGTGAAGGAGAGGAGCTGGGCTTCCTAGTTCCTAGAAAACCCAAAAGCAGCCGGGTTCGGTGGCTCAGCCTGTAATTCCGCGCCTTTGGGAGGCTGAGGTGAGTGGATTGCCTGAGCCCGCGGGTTCAAGACCTGCC